AAAAAAAAAACTTTGTTCATGACCACTCAGATGATAGCTAAAGGTCAGGACTTTGATATCTATGTTACCTGTAATGAACCTGCAAGACAGCAGATTAGTTTTGAACTCACATTTCCTTTCCTGCACTCGCACGGCTCATCTGTAATAGGCTTAAATACCTCTATTCTCATCATACCATCATTTCAACTAGGCTTCCCTTTATAGTATAAATATTTACCTTGTGACAAAACCAACTAATCTTTACTGAACACTTACCAGGCACTATTCTAAATGCTTTAACTACAGCATCTCATTAAATTCTCACAATAATCCTATGATCAGATGAGGTGAAAAAGCACTTCACAGTCATTATTTGCTGATTTCTCTCATCTTTTCCTCTAAGCCATTCTTTCCGTACCCATTCCGAACTTATTTACCTGATTATATCCGAAGCCTGTAACATATTTCCCTATGTACTTTGACAAACTTAAACAAAACATATTTCCCAAAGTCCCACCCTTTAGCATATTTCTCCTATATTTTCCATTCCACCTAAAATGATATAATTTTTCTTAACTTTGCTTTTGTAAAACCTCATATATTATTAGTTTTACAATATTAATTTCATAGTCAGTATCCTTTATCCCCTATTATTATATTCTGTCTTATGCTGTATATTTTTAAATCTGAGATTATAAATATTTAATTTTCTATTTATTATCCCTAACGTAGTATTACAGAATCAAAAAAATTTTTTAGGTTACATGTGTGCTCATTATAGAAAGCTTGGAAATCTGAGATTATAAATATTTAATTTTCTATTTATTATCCCTAACATAGTATTACAGAATCAAAAAAATTTTTTAGGTTACATGTGTGCTCATTATAGAAAGCTTGGACAAGAAAGGAAGTGAAGAAAAGAGAGTAAGTATAAATGTCACTATTTAAGGTAATCACAATTAATATTTGGGCACAAAGGTCTCATTTACATAATCGAGATGATATAGTATAAAAATTTCTTCTAATCACAATAACTAAACAGAAACAATAAAATTTTTTCATCACTTTATTTGCCAGTATGTAATATAACTCTGATATCTATTCTGCATATGAGTTTTTTGAAAAATAACAATTCTATTAACCACACTTTTCTGCCTGATCTACTCTCTATCATACTCTACTTCCAATGAATATAGAGAAATCTATTTAACAAGAATTAAATTACTTTTATTTTGAAGCTCTTAATAGGTAAGAAATAAATTTCAAGCATTACTTTTAGAACTCTAAAATATTTATCATTTAAGGAAAGACGAGCACTTGCCTTCATCTCCATCATCCCCAAATGGGTAGAAGAGAGCAACAGCTAAGTTGATGAACACAGCCAGGTTGAAGGAAATGCTCCCCCACAGAGAGATGTGCCTTGAGAACCAGAACAGGGCAGGGTTATCTAGGAAGCAAGAAGCGTAACGGGACAGAACAGAAAATTAAATGTTGGTTCCAACACATAAGCCTCACTGAAATATCTTATTATGCGCATTTTTGTAAACTATTACAAAATCGTATTTAAATAAACATTTAATATGACACTTTAGAAAGTTTATTAAAAGTAATCAGTACCATAAGGGAGTTTTCTATTTAATTCCTTCTTTCATTCTTTAGCCAGTTTACACCTCGACTATTGTGGAAAGGTAAGTAATTCTGCAATCGATAAAGGTGGTCACAAAAGGTGATTCTGTCATAACTCTTTCTAATCGACATCCGGAGCAGATTAGAGAGAATGCAGGTTAGAAGCTGCCTGGGGCCCCTTTTAATGAAATGGTATGTGTTGCTGTACAATTTGCTAATATTGATAAATCGGTTTCCCATACCATGCCTTGAAGTCAAATAAAAACCAAAACCCTTAGCACAGGTATATCTCTAACAAAAATTCCAATGACAGTCGCAGTTACCTGAAACGCTGAAACTTAATAGTCTGACATAATAGTACTTACTGGGAACCAGTGATTTATATTATCTACGTTTTAAAACTTAATGCTTCCTAAGATCTTGCTGGGTTTGAAACAGCAGAAAAAAAATGAAGCTACAAAAAGAACCACCAATAAGTGAGAGAGACTTAGCTGAATATTTTCAAAAAGAGAACTCCATGTTTGTCATCAGAAATGAAATAATAAATGCATCTACTGAATACAGTTTGCATTAACTGAAAACCAGCTCTTTCCAGCTCTCCTATAACTGAGTGGATACATGTAACACATAAAAGTTTAAATGGGGGCCAATTTTATTAACCTGCCATGGGCACTCACATGGCTCCTTCAGGTCTTGTCCATTCTCGAACTTTTAATATCTTAACACCAGGATTAAAATATGGAGTTACGTGAGGGGCAAAGACACACTGATTTTCAAGTAGAAATTATAAACTTTTCAGATGTGTCCTGTGAACCTCAATCTAGAGTCTGCTGCTGACATACAAACTGCACTACCTGTTCAATACCTCCTGTTTTCCTTCTCTTGTAATGAAACATTCCAACACAGAAATAGGCTATGATTACCTATGGTATTTAATTGACTAATGGATCATAAATTATATATCTCTGCATGTCCATCATTCCTGAATTGAGAGTCCTCATTCTTAAAAGCTGAATATTAATATAAAATTAAAAGATGTTAATATGTATATCTGTAATAACAAATCCTTATTATACATCCACAAATGAATTAGATTCTGCCTATAATCTCGTAAGCTGCTTATTAACCTCATAATAAGCTAATTTCTAACTTATGTATTTCTAATAATTAGAAATTATTTTAAGATTTATTTTTTGATAAATGACAAAATATTTATT